GGACAAACTGGAGACATTTGTCTTCTTCAATGTGTGGGGCAAATCTAATACTGTAAAATCACCTAAACTTATATTATTATATTAAGGCCTATTTATAATGAAGTCTCATAGACTTTGATGTATTTAAACCAAACCTAAGGTGACTAAGAATTATTATATTTTTTAATGTAAATGTAATATGATTTAATTCACATCATGTGTAAAAATAAATAAATAAAAAAGGGGGGGCCCAACTGCTGGGGGGGGGCTGTCTCTACATGTAAAGGACTGGAGTGGTGAACAGATGTGTCATGGAGAATCAGAAAATGTGTGAACTTGAAATCTTTCACTGACCTCCGTCTGGACAAACTGGAGACATTTGTCTTCTTGAATGTAGACTGTCTGACTGACTGACTGACTGACTGTCTGTCTGACTGACTGACTGTCTGACTGACTGTCTGACTGACTGTCTGACTGACTGCAGCCAGGATCTGTCTTGTACTAAATGTCTAATGTCTGAAGCCGTCCCCCCTCCCTCTTTGTGTCCTTCTGGACTATTGACCCTTTCCTAAATCCTAAGACACATTTATAAAAACATTCAGCTGCTGCCCCTAGTGGTTTCACATCCAGTGTGTACGAACCCGTGGTCCAGAGCATCATGAAGAAGAGACTTAAAACCTGAGATTTTGATGAAAACAACAGGTCAACCAACGTCTTTACCAGAAGGTTTTTGTCCAATCAGTTGAGGAGTTACCGAGTCGCGGGTCAGAACTCCACCAGGTCTGAAGCACAGATGAAACCTTACCTTTCTTTCTGGCCAGTTGTACCTCTCGAACACGTCATCGTACATTTCCGTGGCGCCGTCGGTCACCAGCATTATGGCCTGGCTGCAGATGCTGCCGTGACCCGTCTGATTGAACTGCGGACATAAAGACGACACATAAACATCTGTTTAATCTGCCGGTGATTTAAAGTTGAACCGAAGCGTCTGTTTCTGTTGTGTCGGACGTTCACGTCGGACATGACGCGACCATAAAGACGTCAGTTGATAAAATACTGACACCGTGGTCGGGGGAGAATTATACTTTATTGTGATGCAGTGCAGTAATTAAGGACTTTATCGACCCGTGACACTGAGTGTGGAGTTTGGAGGAAGTGGAAGAGCCTGAAACCTGCTGAGCTCCGCACACACACACACGTGCACACACACGTGCACAAATATACTGTATGTATAAAGTGAAAATGGCACACACATACTGTATGTATAAAGTGAGTTTTTACAGAGGATAACAGGAAAATAATAATAATAATAATTTATCCAACTCCGGTAAAAAAAAAAAGGAAGTCATTGAACAAAATTTAACAAAAAATAAAATTGGTCTGACAATTTTTTCGCAGCTCATATTGAGCTTCCTTTTTTTAAAAATATTTAAGCAACTTTGTTTTTATAATGTTGTCTTTACTAGACTTTGTTTGTTGAACTGCATCATCAAATTATAACCATATCTCATGTTCTACTTTTCTTAAGCCATTAGTTCCCAAACCTTTCTGTAGCGCCCCCTATAGGACTATCATCCCTTCCCTCCCAGCCATGACAACTTTCACGCATTTTCGCTTCAAAACTACAACTTCAAAATGTGAACAAAACTGAAATTTCCAGGAAATAAAAATGTAATTAATTGGCCTTTCTATACCCCTCCTTGGCTCTGTGTACCTACGGTGGGCAGCACCCCCCAGTTTGGGAACCAAAAGTCAAAAAATACCCCCGGACATTGTCGAGTCAGCACAGTAATCTACAGTCAGTGGTAGTTACAGTAATCATTACTAGTTATTGGCAGTATTTACAGTTAAGTCCTGAGTCTTTGACTTTCGTGTCGAGGAACTTCATTCAAGGACAATCAAGGACCTGATGCTGATAGAATCTCATTGATCCTGAGTCCTTACTGGGCCAAGCTCCAGACTTTGAAACAATCAATGAAGAACAGAGTAAAACTCTGAACTGAACTGAGAAGGAACAGTAAATGATCAGTAAAATGCTGCGTTAACTTTGAGCTTTTGTTTTTATTCTAGTTGTGAATTTCTATATTTTAGCTTTTGTCGCTGCAGCAGCCGCAGCCTCACAGTGAAGTAAAAAAGGAAACCGACTCCCCCTACCTTATTACCATATTCACTGCAGGTTTTAATTAAAGTGACAAACGCAGAGGTAGAAGCTGCAGCAGTGCAGCCCAGAGCCGGCCTGAGAAGCAGGAGATAAAAGAAGTGTTTTCCGAGGCTCCTCCCGCTCTTATCTACTGTGTGTTGAAATCGGACGCCGTATTAATCACCGACATTAATTACAGCCATTAATCACCGCTTCAGAATGGATGTGACCGTGGTGGGAGGGCGGACGGGGACAACAGCGGAGCGTTTCAACAGGCTGCACTCCTCCCAGAAGCTGAAGCGTCTTTGATTAGAGCGAGCGGCTTCTTTCTGATTAGCTGAGAACACGCTCTAACGCGCCGTCGCCGGAAACAAATGTGGCCGGGGAAATGAAAACGTTCCTAATGTTCTGGTCAAGTGGAGCCGCTGAATTAAAGCCAGAACACGGACTATTCATTTTTTTTTGATTTGTGAGGACAGGGACACATCCATTGTGGTCTGACAGATGTAACTATAATTTTTTTTTTTTTTCACTCCACACGACTGTCACCTGATCAGTCAGCACAGAGTAAAAATGGATCTAAATCTAAACTCCTGTGTTGTTAATTATCACAGCCAAATGAATGACGGTCAGAACGGTGGCCACAGCGCACCCTGCTGGAACTCACGTTGTTCAGGATGGTGAAGGCCTCGGTCAGAGCGTCACCCAACAGTCCGATCCCTTTGGCAAACAGCTTGTCCAGATGTTCACGGAAGTGCTGAGGAAGAACGGATATGAAGAAATATTTTTACTTATTAAATATTTAAACATGAAAAATGGATGGATGGATAGAACTTTATAAATCCCTCTTTTTAGGAAATAAGATAATAATTCTAAAATCAATTCACAATCCATTGCTAATTGACATTTTTAATGGTAAAAAGTCACAACCTGTACTGCAGTTTTACAAATCGTGACTGCGAAAATTCTGAAACGCAGCTCGTACTCTGTCATTGCAGCAAATTCTCAATAGAAAAGCCATGAAGCCATATATTTCCTAATAAAGGAGAAATATCATTTTTTAAAGTGAGTTCCTCCACAAAACATACACATAAATATATAAGCAAATAAATATAAAATAAAATATAAACATCCCTTAAACCTAGCAATGGGGCGTGGCTTCATGTCCATGACCCTAAGAGGTGACCTCAGGGTCACATGACAGGAGGTACCGTAGGTGTGGTAACATCACGTTAGCCTGCTAGCCTCGTTTTAAACCCGCTGACGTCACACGCTGATAAACAGGAGGGGAGACTCACGTCTTTATTGGTTCTGTCGGCTCGGACCAGGGTTCCGTTCAGACAGGGCTCCACGTAGTGAATCTCCTGATTGTACTGTGGAACACACACAGAACACACACCACCACATCAGCGCTCGTGGGTCTGAAACATCGGGGGGGGAAAAAAACGCTGGACTGGAACTGACTGCGATGATGTTGAAGAAGTCGTCATCTCCCAGCGTGTCCAGTATGGAGGAGACCGTCTGCCGGGCTATGGTCAGCCTCAGGCCCTTCATGCTCCCACTGACGTCCACTAAAATGACGACGTCCTTTGGAGACGTGGCCGCCTGGATGTACCTGGGACGGGACGACCAGAGTCACACGGTGAGGCCCAGACCCTCGGTCACAGGAAGTAATCATACGTGGTCACACGGAAAAAAACCTTTACCACTTCCTGTTTCTGCAGTCAAAGCCAATGACGCCATGTTCATCTGGATGCCACTTCACTCCTGAAACAGGAAGTTAGTTTTAATTCCATTTCCTGTTTTGTTCAGGTTAATCATAACATCGTTTTAACAAGAACACAAATCTAAATCAATCTTTTTCAGACCATGAAAAAGTAGAAGATGAATGAATAAATGAAGGACTGTACTGTGTCTGTGTCTGTATCTGTGTCTGTGTCTGTGTCTGTATCTGTGTCTGTGTCAGTATCTGTGTCAGTATCTGTGTCTGTGGTGAGGGTCCAGGTCTCAGGATGATTCAGTACCAAAAACCTGAACTGTCCCTTTTTTAAGACTCTCAGACTCATTTGATGTTTTGTAAATGTATCACGTCTCCAGCTCTACATTGTATTTTTTTTTTTACCCCGCTGGGGTAAACACAGGCAACAAATGTGGCAGAAAAAACAAAAACCAAACAAACACTTTTTGTTTCCATGTTTAAATACTGTTTGTAATTTATCTTTTCATGTTTATGTCTGTGATTAATGACTCGTTTCTGAGGATTTACATTAGGTTGTCAGGCAGAGTAAACAGGAAAAAGAAAAGTGTTTATACACACACACACACACACACACAAGATGGAGTTTGTTTGCAGTCTAACAAACAAACTCAAATGTATTCATTTTTTATAAAAGACAGTTGGTACTCTCAACTACTGCAACAATATTGTCCAGAAGATTACGCAGTAAATTTGAACGAACAAAATTATCGACAAGTATTTTCTCTCCCGTTCACTCATCGTTTACAGGGACGGGATTCAAACCCTCCACCAGGTGGATGGATGATAACAGAGGTTACGTACTGTCATCAATCACGTTTACAGGGACGGGATTCAAACCCTCAGGTTACGTACTGTCATCAATCGTTTCATCAAAAACCATAAAGAACACGTGTATCAGCTACAGTTAAATATTTCCTCTAATTTAAGCCTGGACTCCAGAGCTGAGCGTCTGATACGGTCGGTTGGAGCCGTCGGCTACTGTACGACTGTAGGCCTACAGTCGGCCAAATGCTGATTAATTACCGTCGGTGTATTTGCGTCCTCTCTGATGGTCTGTAAAATTACAACATTAGCCAAATCACCCTTTTAGTTATTCTGAATCATTTGTTCTGATTTTCCCCCAGAGCCCTGACAGCAGATGATGGATCCCAGGGGACAATCCTCCCTCTCACACACACACACACACACACTCACACACACACTCTCACTCAGAGTGACAACACTCACCGGGGTACTGCCTGAAGAACCCCTTGGCGCTGCCAAAGTACTGCCAGATGAGTGTGGGGTCTCGTTTAAAATTGTCCACAAACACTTTATTCAAGGCCTCAGACCAGTAAACTCCATTCACTATGTCAGGATCTGGGAGGGGGGGGGGGGGGGGGGGGGGGGGAGGGGGGGGGGGAGGGA